TTGGCTGGAGGGTCACACCCAGAGAGTCGTGGTGGATGGGACGGTTTCGACCTGGAAGGGTGTGGGAAGTTGGGTCCCACAGGGTTCGGTCCTTGGACCGATACTCTTTAATGTCTTCATCAGTGACTTGGACGAGGGAGTGAAATGTACTCTGTCCAAGTTTGCAGATGACACAAAGCTATGGGGGGATGTGGACACGCCGGAGGGCAGGGAACAGCTGCAAGCAGATCTGGACAGGTTGGACAAGTGGGCAGAAAACAACAGAATGCAGTTCAACAAGGAGAAATGCAAAGTGCTGCACCTAGGGAGGAAAAATGTCCAGCACACCTACAGCCTAGGGAATGACCTGCTGGGTGGCACGGAAGTGGAAAGGGATCTTGGAGTCCTAGTGGACTCCAAGATGAACATGAGTCGGCAGTGTGATGAAGCCATCAGAAAAGCCAATGGCACTTTATCGTGCATCAGCAGATGCATGACGAATAGGTCCAAGGAGGTGATACTTCCCCTCTATCAGGCGCTGGTCAGACCGCAGTTGGAGTACTGCGTGCAATTCTGGGCGCCGCACTTCAAGAGGGACGCGGATAACCTGGAGAGGGTCCAGAGATGGGCCACTCGTATGGTTAAGGGCCTGCAGACCAAGCCCTACGAGGAGAGACTAGAGAAACTGGACCTTTTCAGCCTCCGCAAGAGAAGGTTGAGAGGCGACCTTGTGGCTGCCTATAAGTTCATCACGGGGGCACAGAAGGGAATTGGTGAGTATTTATTCACCAAGGCGCCCCCGGGGGTTACAAGAAATAATGGCCACAAGCTAGCAGAGAGCAGATTTAGACTGGACATTAGGAAGAACTTCTTCACAGTTCGAGTGGCTAAGGTCTGGAACGGGCTCCCAAGGGAGGTGGTGCTCTCCCCTACCCTGGGGGTCTTCAAGAGGAGGTTAGATAAGCATCTAGATGGGGTCATCTAGACCCAGCACTCTGTCCTGCCTATGCAGGGGGTCGGACTCGATGATCTATTGAGGTCCCTTCCGACCCTAACATCTATGAATCTATAAGGAGTGTGCTCAGGAGGGTTGGCCCCAGCAGTGCCACGAATGAGGTATGTAAGGATACTAGTCCTTTAAAGGCTTTGTAGACTGTAACCACATTGGTTAGATAAAACTGGCTGTAGCCAGTTAATTGAAGCAGGAGTTTCAAGCAGTTGTAGGAAAGAGTTTTCTCCCTGTGATAGCCCACTCCTTGACCTTATTGTAGACAGTTAACCTGTTCCTGAAAGCTGATGAACCGACAAGTAACACAGGGTGTAGACATATCCTAAGCAACACCCCCAAGATCACCTAGGAAACTCGTCTGCCTTCTCTTCTTCCATTTAAGAAAGCAGGTGCAACGAAGAGAGCCCCTTCCACACAAACTGGTCTATTTTTTAATATTTTTGGTAAAGGAAATGACCTGGGTTGCATATTTGATTAACAAATATTTATCCAGTGATATCAATGCAAATACAGAGAACTATATGGACAGTCTGAGAAGACACACCTGGAGACTGCAGAGAGAGATCATGCTGTACATCATCTGGGTCACACAGAAGCAGTGCCGGAAATTATGGAATGGGTTGTTTCTGTAATTGTCATGAATGCACAGCTACAAAGAAATAAAGTGAGTACAACTGTTAAAGGCAGCAGAGTTGTTTTCAAATGGAAAAATTTGAGTCTTTCACTTTTCTCTGAGGCACTACAAGCCCCCCCCACCTCTCCAGGGACATGTGCAGCTGCACATTATTTCCCACATTAACCCCTTTCCAAATACTGAACACTGCAACATAATCTGGCTGAGACAGACCAGATATCATTCCTTGCCTGACCTATCTACTGGAATCATCAAAAACACCATGGAGTATTTCCTTCTCAGTCCCATGAGGTGTAGCAAACTGAAGTCAGAGACTCTCCATTACCTTTCTCTGTGTTTCAATTTTTTGAGCAAATTTGGTGCTGGTAAGATACAGAATGGATAATACTTGTTGTATAGGTCCTCTGTAGTATAGGCAGATGCTAAGCAAGCTTTCTCACCCATTTGCCAATTCATATTAATCCTGATGTCTGACTCCCTCTGCTTTGGCTCTGGATCATAACTGAGCAGACACCACCAAACATGCCACACTGCTGGGGACCAGTGGCGATGCATAGGGGGTACACAGGGGTGTATGTGCACCCCCTGACCAGCTGCATTCACTGCTTAGGTGATGGGCAGGGTGGGCAGGTGGTAGCTCTGGTGCCCCCCTGTAAGCGCTGGCCAGGGAGTGGGAGGACTTCCAGAAGTGCTGCAGCCACTTCCGGGAGTACCATGGCCGTTTTTGGGAGCAGCACAGCTGCTCATCAGTCAATAAGTTTTGCTGCAGGGTGACTTACCCCCACCCCTGCCCCGGTCACTGACTGGTCGCTGGGGGGGGGGGCACCCCCCAAATAAGGTGGCCCATGCTGGGGACCTCTGCACTGACACACTGGTAACATGAGACAACAAGAATTTAATGTGCATGCTGACCCAGGAAGGTTGGAACATTCATGGCAAATTAGAAAAGTTCCACAACATATTTGGTTACATTAGTCATCTGCGTCTTCAGTTCTTATGAGTATTTCTGTAGCACGTGGTTGTGGGAGGGATATGGAAAGCATGCAAGAGAAGTGACTGTTTCTCGCCCACCTGAGTTCAACTTCAGGGATATTGCAAGCTCTGGGGAAGAATCATGATTGAAGAAGAAACTATGGGCTTTTTCTTATCCTTATTTTTCTGTGAGGCCAATACGTATAAAGGAATTTTTATAACACTCAGACTTGTAGGGAGTATATAACTCCTCCTCCTGCAGAGAGGAGGCTGTACAGAATATTTGCAACAATGGGGTTCAAATTGCTGAGAATACCTCTCTACATACACATACTGGTGCCACAGATCCATAGATATTTTTAGGTCACAAGGGACCGTTATGATAACCCAGACTGACCCCTGGATGATCCAGGCTAGAGAATATTGTCCAGTTACTCCTGCAGCCAACCCTACTACTTATAGTAGAACTGGAGCCAAACTTTTGGACTTTAGGAAGATCCCCTCTCTGGTTCAAGGGAAGGGGAATCCACTGCTTTGCCAGATACATTGTTCAAATGGGTACTTATCATCAGGGATCCTGGTTTTCTCTGATAAAAAAAAATCCCCAATTTTTGGTTTAAAAAAACGTAACCCAAAATCCACATGTTTCTGTGATTAAAACGGAACACCACTATATATATAGTGTCACCCTGCCCATCACTATATATATAGTGATCATAACTGAGCAGACACCACCAAACATGCCACACTGCTGGGCACTATATATATACACGCATACATATACATACATATACACATACATACACACCTACATACATACATATATATATAGTGATGGGCAGGGGGCACTATATATAGAGTAGTGTTTCATTTTAATCACAGAAATGTGGATTTTGGGTTACTTTTTCTAAACCAAAAATTGGAAATTTTTTTTTAAATCAGAGAAAACCAGGATCCTTGCTTATCAACACTTAAAAGTCAGCACTTTTTATTTTCAGTTTTAATGAAGCTTCCAGTCATGGGACCTTGTCATATTTTTCTCTGCTGGATTACAAAACGCTTTTTAAATCTTCTCCTTGCATAGATCCTTACAGATCATGCTGAAGTTACCTCTAACCTACTTTTCATTAAGCTACCTAGATTGAATTTAAATCCTGAACAGTAATTTACTGACATTTGTAACTTGGCATCAAAAAAAAGAGCAACTAAATAACTGCATCCACTAGACCACAGTGATATAATCCTGCAGAGCTCTATTCCACCTGACACCCACTTAACATAACCACTTTTTTTTACTGTGAGTAGAAGAGTGGTGTTCATAAAACAGGGTAGGCAGAGGTTTTGGCAAAACTCTATAATCACCTGCAAACAGGTGCATCCTAGGTCACAGCTCCCCCAGTTCTAGCCAAAGCAATTCCTGGATAGTTTCAAGGGGTATTCAGCCTAGTATCCTGTCTCTGGCTGGCACTACATGCTTTAGAAGAAAGTCTAAGAACTGCCCTGAAGGTAGATGTGAGAGAGTGCTTCCTCCCCACATATTCAGCCTCACCCTGGCCCTAGTTAGAGGCTCATGTCCTGAAAAACAAGACATAATGCCCCTTCCAAAATCCTTATCATCAATTGTGGCAACTTGGGACATTCTTGACTTCCATATAAATATCTAATTGCTTTTGAACTTTGTCAAATGTTTGGCCTCACTTACTCCCTGTGGCAATGAGCTTGATTATTTGTTCTTCTTTAATCAGTGACTGCCTTGTATAAAACATATAAACAGTCCAGGGAGAATTGAATGCGGGTGTTGAGTTGGATGTCATCTACCTGGACTTCAAGAAGGCCTTTGACACTGTTTCTCACCCCATTCTCATAAAAAAAACTAGGCGACTGCAGCATTGATGCCTACAGTCAGAAAGAAGGGTGGCAAATTGGGTTGGTTTGCACCCAGAGAGTGGTGGTGGACGGGTCGTTTTCGACCTGGAGGGATGTGGGCAGTGGAGTTCCCCAGGGCTCGGTCCTGGGGCCTGTACTATTCAACATCTTTATCAGAGACTTGGAGGTGGGTGTGGAAAGCACGCTGTCCAAATTCGCTGATGACACAAAGATGTGGGGAGAACTGGACACACTGGAGGGGAGGGACAGAACCCAGCTAGATCTAGACAGATTACAGAGGCAGGCGGATGAGAATAGAATGGAATTGAACACAGACAAGTGCAGGGTACTGCATCTAGGGAGAAGGAACCTGCAACACATCTATAGGCTGGGGAACACCCTTCTTGTCAACACGGTGGCAGAAAGGGATCTTAGAGTCATTGTTGACTCCAGGTTGGACATGAGCCGCCAATGCGAGGAAGCAGTCAGTAAAGCTAACTACACCTTGTTGTGCATCTACAGATGCATCACAAGCAGGTCCAGGGAGGTGATCCTTCCCCTCTATGTGGTGCTGGTCAGACTGCAGTTGGAGTACCGCATCCAGTTCTGAGCGTAGAAGCAGCCGATCCCCCTAAGGTAAGTGGGGCAGAAGAGCCAGGGCAGCTGGGGCAGAACTGGAGGGGAAGCCCCCCAGAGCCCTTTTAACTGGGCCGGCAGGGAGCTGTGCTCCTGAGCCGCATGCTAACAAAGTGCGCAAACAGGCACACTCTGTAAGGGCACGCTTTGCGCTGGCGTTTGCACAGGCAGGCAAGCAGGAGGGCCCAGAAGGAAGTCTTCGGCAAAGGAGAGAAGGCACCCCACTACTAAAATGGTGAGCACGCCGAGTGCAGCTAGGGCCCCTGCCTAGGGGGTGCCACCTACCCGGGGCTCCTCTGAGGCCTCCACCCAGATGGGGCCCATGGGGGAGCTGGCACCACCCTGCCCCCTGGCCTGTGGGGGATGCCTGGCGGGACCGAGGGGCACAGGGGATGGTCCCCCCCACACCTGTACCATATGTGCCCTTCTTAGCGCATTGGAGGGACAGGTAAGGGAGCTCCAGGCGGAGGTTAGCAGGCTGAGGGGGATCAGAGAAGCAGAGGATGAAATTGATGGGTATTTCCTTTCCCTGCAGGGCCAAACACCAAAGAGAGAAGAACCCCAGGAGGTGCCCTCCGCAGCAGAATGGCAGACGGTTCCCTCCAGAGCCAGGGCTGCTCATGGTGGTGCAGTATTAGCTCCCCCAGTCCAGCTGGGGAACAGGCATGGGGCCCTGGCAACATTGGAGGAAGAGGAAGGAGAGAAGGAAACCTCTGGAGAGGAGGCCACTCCACGCACAGAACAGACTGAAGGAAGCCAGTTGACCCAGAAGAAGAGACCCCGGGTGCTCGTCATAGGTGACTCCATCCTGAGAGGAACAGAAGGTCCCATCTGTCGCCAGGATCCCATGTCATGTGAGGTCTACTGTCTGCCCAGAGCTCGGATTCAGGATGTGACGGAGATGATCCCGGCCCTTATCCGGCCCACTGATTACTACCCCATGGTCCTAATCCATGTGGGCACTAATGATGAGGCCAGGAGCAGCCCAGATCGCCTGGTGAAGGACTACAAAGCTCTGGGGGACAAGCTGAAGGAGACAGGGGCACAGGTAGTCTTCTCAACTGTCCTCCCAGTGAGCAGACATGGACAACGCCATGAGACTTGTATCAGGGAGGTCAACTTGCGGCTTTGGAAATTGTGTTTTGAGGAGGGCTTCAGCTTTTTGGACCACGACCCATACTTCAGAACAAGAGACATGCTCGGGTGGGATGGGCTTCACCTCTCCCCCAAAAGGTAAGTGTGTGTTCTCTTTCAGGTTGGCTGATCTCCTCCGGCAGGCTTTAAACTAATTTCATCAGGGAAAGGGGAGGATAAGAATGGAGGGAGCCACGGAACAGTGAACCAAGAGCCACACACAAGAACAGCCCAGCCAAGACAGGCAACGAGCACAAGAAGTACCCAGATAAGAGACAGGGGTCCAGATAGTCCTGGAAATAGCAGGGTGGTGCAACACCCTCAGGGGACCTTAAATGCTTCTACACTAATGCTCGTAGTATAGGGAACAAGCAGGAGGAACTTGACCTCCTGCTAGCTAACACAAACCCAGACATAGTGGGGCTCACTGAAACTTGGTGGGATTCAATGCATGATTGGGTGGGAAACATCAAGGGCTATAGGCTGTACAGGAGAGACAGGACAGGGAGGAAAGGTGGGGGTTTGGCGCTCTATGTCAAAGAGCAATACATGTCCTCAACAAACAGCACTGGGTCAGAGGAGGGACAGACTGAAGTGCTCTGGGTCAAAATACAAGGGGGATCAAGGGAAAGGGACTCAACGGTGGGTGTCTACTACAGACCACCCAATCAGGGGGAAGAGCTGGACCGGGAATTCTCAGGTCAGATCGTGGAGGCAGTTAAGTCAAGGGACATGGTCATCATGGGTGACCTAAACTATCCGGACATCTGCTGGGAGGAGCAGTCAGCTCACGTAGGTTCTGACTGCTCATGTAGGTTTCTAGCTGAGTTACAGGACCTCCACCTAACCTAGGAGGTGCACAGTCCCACCAGGGGAAATGCCTTGTTGGACCTGGTCCTGGCCATAGGCGACAACCTGGTTAGGAGACTGTGGGTTCTTGACCACCTGGTTGATAGCGATCATCACCTACTGGAATTCACCATCCAGCGCAGGGTGTCAAAGGCCTGCAGCAAGGCAGCAGCCCTGGAATTCAGGACGGCCAGTTTCAATGAGTTAAGGAGATTAGTCGGGGAGGCACTGAGGTCCCAGAGGGGAGGGGAGTTGGGAGTCCCAGAAAAGTGGTCGTTCCTTAAGGAGACGATCCTCCAAGCCCAAAGGGTGACAGTCCCAATGCAGATCAAAGGGGGCAAGAGTGCTCAAAAGCCCCCATGGCTCACCAAAGCCATCCAGGAATGTCTCAAAGCTAAAAAGGAGGCATTCACCCAATGAAAGGGAGGAGCCATCACCAAGGAGGATCGTGGTGCTCCATTGCTCGAGATTGTAGGGGGGCTGTTAGGATGGCTAAGGCAGAGACAGAACTGGGACTAGTGACCTGGATCAAAGATAACAAAAAGTCCTTTTTTAAATACATAGGGAGTAAAAAGAAGGTACAAGGTATTGTGGGGCCTCTGCAGGACATGGTTGGAAATCTGGTGGTCGCACCAGACGACAAAGCTAACCTCTTTAACAAATTCTTTGCTTCCATTTTTTATGCAGGGACTGGGACATCCCCCTCACCGGGATCCCAGATGGACCCAGGGGAGGCACAGCCAGGCCCAGGGTCAGTGAGGACCTAGTCAGGGAACTTCTGGTGGGACTAGATGTGTTCAAATCAGCAGGTCCAGACAATCTCCACCCCAGGGTGCTAAGGGAATTGGCAGAGGTCATTGCAGGACCCCTGGCATGGATTTACGAGCACTCGTGGTGCTCTGGCAAGGTGCTAGAGGACTGGAAAAGGGCCAATGTGGTCCCCATTTTCAAAAAAGGGAGGAAGGAGGACCCAGGAAACTATAGGCCCATTAGTCTTACCTCAGTCCTGGGGAAGCTCTTTGAGAAAATTATCCAGGAGC